ACTGGACGGATACATGATGTCACATTGTTCCCCTCCCTGATGCGGGAGACATGTGACCCGTGCAGTTGACTTCAGATCGACGCAACAACCCTGGTTGGCGCAGTTCACCCTGTTAAGCACTGTTCGACCGTGAGCGATAAGGAAGCCCCAGACCTCTCCCTGCACAAAACTCTTATACAATTATTCAAGCATTGCTTCGGCATCTGCCGCATCTGCCGCAAAGTCACCTTAGTCCGAGGTGATCCACCCGGGGCGCGCACGGACTGGGGCAACGCGCGTCTGCCAGCCGGCGCAATCACGCCCGATCTGCAGACCATGATCATCACGTTACGTTAGAAATGAGGTTTGAAAATGAATATCTTAACAGGAATGATATAACTGGCAATGCCAGAGAAAGACGGAACAGTGCAGCACCAACTAAAATAACACAGAAAAGATAAAAACATACCGATACTGGCACACCAACAAGTTGCCGCGCCATTCGCATCGCTGATTAACACCGCCACCTTGTGGCAGGTACGAGCACTTCAAGTATGTGTCGGGGACCACCTGCGGCACTGTCGCAATGGCAAGCTGTCCGTTATACACGCCAGAAACGTTAGATACTGATGTTGCCTGACCGATATATAGACCAATAACGACTCAGTGGGTCCCCAATCAGCGCAAAAGGCTCTCTGATTGTTATCTGAGGAACCGTCCCCGTAGGCCGAAGCCCTTCAATAAAAATCCACTAGCCTATCGCGCCCAAGACCTTCCGATCGGGCCGTTGGTCTTCGGACTCGGTGGACCCTCTAGGCCCTCCGGGCCTGCTCGAACATTGCCTGTGGCCAAATCGGGGCCCCTTGCCAACACAGGACCCCTATTAGGCGCTGTGTGACGCCAACAGACGCTGCGGCCCAGTCCAATGTAAACCCCTTGTTCCGGCTTTGTACCTGCCTGAGAAATGGACCCTCAGGTCCATGTCGCCACAGCGCCGACCGTGTGTTACTGATGGCGTCTGACCAACATATAGACCATCATCGACTCAGGAGACCTCTGATCATTGCGCAGGCCCCTCTGGTTGGCTATGGAGTGCCTGGCCCCGCGGGCCGGGCCCCTAAATGCGACCTCCCGCCGCCCTTTCGGGCTCTTCGGGCCCTCAAATCGCTTCTTTAATCGCAGGTTCCGAGGGGCACTTCGAGCCCCTAGGAACCTAATGTGGGGGGGGGGGGGGGGGGGGGAACGCGTCTCATCTGCCCACCAACTGCACTACTTAGCCACAACCTAGTCATAAATTGAGAACCAACCAAAAACTCACACTTCATCGGACTTAGCACGCGCTCGGGTGGGGTCAATTTACCCTTTTTGTTGTTGTTTGGTGGAGTTGACGGGCGCGCCGACTGCGATGGTCATTTGGCGCCCGTAACGAGTTTTGTTCTACCTGTCTAATGAGCCGCATAAATGGTCTCAAAGTTGAAGTATTTGAGAAACAAAAAGATGTTGAGATTCCCGAGTGTGAGTTGTCTCCTAGTGTATCACAAAGGGTAAAAATGCTTCTCCAAAATGATTTCCGAACGGCGCGGCGCAGCCGCGCTCAACTTTGTATAGCTGTAGACAATTGAAAGGCGGGTCGTTGGTCCAATAAATCTAGATATACCTTGTAAGGTCGCTGACCACTTCAATCAAAGTCAGACCATGGATTCAGCGAGGTCAATTTCTAGGGAATCTTTCAACCTGATGCAACAACGCAGTGTTATACGAGGTCATACATCTCTGAGATATTTTCTTAGGCAACGCAACAATTGAACGAATAAATTCCATTGACCTAGGGTCAGGTGCGAAGATCAGACCAAAATAAAAACCAACCTGCTTTATTACTCTTGGGCCTGCTGTACAGGGTAGTTTTCTAGGGCTCATTTGAAATTAATTGTTAACAGGAACCGCATTATACATCTTGCATGGACCCCATAAACGTCAAAATAGGTCACTGACCTAAGATGTCCCAGGTCAACATTTTGCTTTTAGGGGCATACTGCTTAGTCACTTATTAAAATGCAAAACTCAAAAACTATTGCATGATTTTGGTCACCATAGCCTTCAAAACGTCAAACAAGGTCAATGACCTTCAGTGAGCATGTGCACTTTTGTTTAGAACAGGTATCTAGATTATGGGGGGGCTTTGGATGCCAACCTGGAGTTTGACCTCCTTTGACCTTATTAGACCCGAAGGTCATGACCTAGGAACCTTATGACCTAACTTTGACATAAGTGAGTTCACGTACAGGGCAACACACCCCGCGCATATTGAGCCTCTAGCTTTCTTAGTTTCTGCGACCTCAAGGGGGTCACAGTGACCCCCACCCGGGTGAAGGGTGTCTAGCCAGCCAGCCGGGCGTGTTAAATGATGACTAAACAAAATCTGCTCACCGTGCTCGGCATCGTAGCATTGACACCGCGCGGGCCGCGTGTACGCAGCGGCATTTGTCGCCGTAAACGAGTGCTCTGATGCGTAAGTTTGGTGTTTCGCGCGCTGGTACCGGGCCATCGTGAGATGAAAGCGACTGACTCTAGCCCGAACCGTCACTCAGGTGACTACGAACAAACACCAAATAGGAGCGCCGTAGATCCGGTATGGGGACAATGGAAAGTCTAGTCGATTCTGCAAAAGAATGAACGTTTTCGGGCAAAGATGGGATGGCCTCGTTCGCTTTTAAACTCATTTCGACCCCCTCTGTTCACCACTAATAAAAACCCACATTGGTTACGAGCAAGGGGGCATCTCAAGCAGAACACAAGGAGGCACATGTTGTTCCCGGTCATGAGCTGAAGGGTCATACTGTTTCACCGCGGGGTGTCTTCCGGCTGCCATTCTGGCGACACGGAGCGGGATCCTCTGGTCAATCAGGAGGCTCTTAGAGGGATATATCATCCTTCTTACCCGCGTAGTTGGCCCCTGATCGACAAAGAAACTGCCATTGACGCAAAAACCTCTCTGCTCACCGCAGGCAGTTCAATAATTGGCGCGCTGACTCCAGTTCGGCTTAACGGCCCATGCTGGAACTGGACTGAATGGCTCGCCGTCCGGTACTGGGGGTCCTGATGACCGGCGCAGGACCATTCCATTGTCCCAATGGGAACACTTCTTATAAGTTATACCGTTTGCTTTCATTGTCATTGTCACATTTCTCGACAAACACAAGAGGTCATTTGTCATTAGGGGTCGCGTCCCGTCCCTGTTGAGCAAATGTTCCCCTGAACGACTTGAGACCCCTTGTTGGCACAGCACACCTTGCCCAGCACACCCTGACCGATACAGGAGCCCCGCATTGTTGCCCGGACCCCGACCACTGTAAATCACGGGCCCGACCGTGTCCCTGTTTGGAAAATGGTCCCCAAGAGCTCAGATCGACACGGAGCCGACTGTTCGGTGCAGGTGCCTTCTGGCCGAAACCGAGGAGCTCAGGGTCTCAGGGATCCAAGATCGGTACATGAGACCCTCTAACTGACATCTGAGATCACGGCCCTACGGACAGGGGCATTAAATGTGACCTACAGCCAGTCCTTCCGACCCTCCAGTCTTCCAATCGGGCCCCTAATTTTTTATCCCAGGGGCCCTTCGTCCCCTGTTCAGCATCCTCAAACAAAACCTGCGACTTGACACATCACCTCCTGTTAGGCACTGTGATACCCTGACCGACGCAGGGGCCCCAAACATTGTTTCAGGGGCCTAGGCCGATGCAAGTCGTGGCCCACGGCCTTGCCGCTGCTTGGGAACTGGACCCCCAGGGTTCAGGCTGACAGGGAGCCAACTGTTTGGTGTTAATGGTTTCTGGCGGACCGAGACCCGCGCAGTGTTGCAGGCGGTCCTCAAACGATGCAAGAGGACTTCTGACTGATATTTAAGGTCACGACCAAACGGGCCACGGTTCTTTTTGTGACCCACATCCAACCCTTCAGACCTTTGTGCCCTCCAGCCGAGCCTTTCGTCGTCAGTTTTGCTGGGCCGCCCGAGCCCCTCTTCGGGCTTCATCGAACACTGATCCTTTTTGACCCTTAAATCGGGCGCTAAATCGTGGGTACCGAAGACCCCGAAGGGCCCCTCGAAACCTACAGGGGGGGGGGGGGGGGAGGGCACAAGCCCCCTGTGCCCCCGTGCCTGGGCTACTGACCAGTGACGGCATATAGTGGTATTGTAGTCATAATTTGACTGAAACATTGTTCCATCTGCCGGCGGGACAGTAATCACGTAGTGAAACGGGCCCCTGACAGACATTTGAAACTATCTGAAATTAAACTGGATGTAAAAATGACTTATTTGAACGACGTGATTGGTCAGGGAGGCGTGCTGAAAGCGCGTCCGAGACAGCTTTGCTTTTTAACACATTACGGCCTAAGCAACTGATTTTGGCAACGACATAATTAAATAATCAAATCATTAAAAAGCAGCCAACGGCCATCTCTGTTTGTTTTGGTTCCATATTCTTTAAAATTTGCATCAAAATTGTTGGGTTACTCAAAACCAAACAGAGATGGCCGTTGGCCGCTTTTGATTTTACCATTCACCTAAATCCACTTTTATCTTCACCAGTCTAACCTGCAACACATGCCATCACTGCAAAGTCCCGAGACCAGAAGCGTTTAAACGGGACTTCTCGCCACAAAGGATATCAGTCGACTTTAGTCAGTGTCGGAAATGGAGGCAACACCAACACGTTGGTCGATGTCGGAAAGGGAGACAACACCTTTGTCAGTGTTGGAAGGAGATAGCACCTTAGTTAGTGTCGGAAAGAGATGCAGCACCTTTATCGGTGTCGGAAAGAGAGACAGCACGTTTATCGGTGTCGGAAAGAGACAGCACCTTTATCGGTTTCGGAAAGACAGACTGCACCATGATGGCACGCAAAGTCATGTCAAGGAACAGCGACCATTGCAAAGGGCACGTGTGCGGAAACAACTTCATGGTAGGACGGGTGAACCCGAAATGGAACATGTGGAGAGATTGTCACCAGGTGAACACTCACCTTTCAGTGAGCCTGAAGCCATCTTTATTGATGGCCGGGACTAGTCCGAACGGATTTACCTCTGCCAAGTATTTGTCACTGCGGTGCTCGCCTGCAACAGGTATATTAAAGATGTATTAGCATGCAGTGTCCCCCTGTGAAATAGTATATCAATGTTCCTTGCGACTACACTTGTGTTTTCTTCTGGCACATTACTAGTATGGTGTGCATTTCAGAACGCATCAGCTGCCAATGTGCATCCAAGCTTGGTTTTAATTAAGGTTTGCAAAATATTTTCCAAAGAAGCTGAATGAATGTAAATTATGTGAGTACCAGTCAGTGGACATCCTTGAATTATTGGTGGGAACAAACTACCAGCAGGCTGATATATGTAGCACATGACAGAACACAGCTTATCATCCACAACATTTTACAACAGGGAACCATACATTTGGTAAAGACAAATGTTGACATGTTAAAAAGTTGTCTCACCTTTACGCAAAGCAACAGGGTGATCTTGATATGGTATGTTGGCAAGCTTACAGAACATCACTACTGCTCTGGATGGTTGTGACATTAAGTCATAATACAGCTTCAGTCGAGACATGATTGGCTGAAATCAATACAATGGTTAATTGACAAAATCATCGAAAGAGACCATAACTGCATTGATGAGAGTGACATAAAAACAGCAAAAAAGAAGGCATTCGAGATCAGCAAATGATACCTGGCTTATCAACATAGATACCGCATCTTTTATAACCTATATAATAGATCAACACGACAATTACATCGATCAAATTCCAAATGATCACCAAGTCCACAAACTAGTGGAATGCCTTATGCAGCATGGAGCAAGCAGGTTAATGATGGCGATTGGGAATTAAAACAGGCCACTGGGCATGTCAGTCCCGGTCTCGTCAGGCTCCTGGCCCAGTAACCGAACAGTCTCAAACCATGGCTAGATTAAGTTTCAGATGTCATTCATGATGTCTGCCCAGTACATACCAAGCCTAGACTTGAACTGCTTAGCTGAGGCTGACGACACTACCGGATGTGGAAGGGTGTTCAAATCGTTGGCACCGCGCGTGCTGAACGAATCACGGTGGACGTGAGTCCTAGCTCGAGGTTTTCTCGGCTTCCATTAGTGTCCTCTTTTCACCTCCAAGCTGTGTCTTGTCAAGACCTCCTCAGATAGTGATATACCTCCGTGAAGCAGTTGATACGCTGTAACCATGTCTCCACTGCCACCACGATAGAACAGCGAGGACAATTGAAGGAGTCTAAATCTCTCAGGGTATGGTCCGCGTGTTACTTCATACACAAGACGGGTCGCTCGTCGCTGAACCTGCTCCAGCCGCTTCTCGAACACTTTGCCGAACGGGCCCAGATGACGTTGCCATACTCCAAATACGGGCGTATTAAGATATTAAAGTGGCAACGTATGAACACCGATGTTGGCAAAAGACCGCCTCACGGCTGCCAGCATCTGGTTGGCCTTCGGGATCGTCTCCGCAATCTGCACGTGCAACTTGAGCCTATAATCCACAAAGACCCCGAGGTTCTTTTCGGTGGACTCACCGCGATTTCGGCACCGTCCAAAAGTACGTCAGCCTCGGGTTGCAGCTCCCAATGTGCACTACTGCACTGCTTTACTGAATTAAAGGGGAGCAGCCACTCCTCTGACTATTTGACTAGGGCGTCAAGGTCAACCCATAGAGGTGAGTAAGTCAGAGACCTCGGGATACGACAGAAGATCTTGGTGTCATCCACCAAGATCCTGACCACGCTTTGCACTTGTTCTACCAGGTCGTTCACAAAGATTATGAATAGCATTGGCCCAAGCACTAATCCTTACGGTATGCTACTGACCACATTGATCCAGTCCTATTTTCAGCTCTGGACCGGCATTCTCTGCATCCAGTTGATAAAGAAAGCCCTGATCCAGCATAGCAAGATGCCTCTCACACCCTAAGCATGGAGCTTGGAGAGCAGATGGTTGAGGCCCAGGATCAACAGCTTTGCTGAAGTCCAGATACCCCATGTCCACGAGCTCTCCATGCTCTGCCATGGCGCTCCAATCTTTCATGATTTCTAACAGCTGGATGATGCAGGACTGCTTTGGGAGAAATCCATAGTGGGCTGCATGAAGAAGTTGAGACTCTAAGAAGTGATTAATTATGGCATCTAAGACAAAATATTCTAGTATCTTGGAGGGAACACCAGTAAGACTCATGCTTCTACAATCTTAACCACTGCCTCCACACACCATGCATTTTTAGACACTATGACAAAAATACAACAGCAAAACAATATTGGCAACACACCATACATCCACTAATGGCCAGGTGACACCATGACAACTAATAATTACATATTTCTTTTTGCTAAGTACTAGCACAGTAATAACACGTAATGTCACTGCCTGGATGAGGCCAGAAATTTTCCAGGAGTTAAATTAACCTCACCTAACCTAACCTACCATTTCTCATACCCCTACCACTGTCTACCCCTACCCCTAATTCTAACACTACCTCCTTTTCTTGATTCCGCAACATGATGATTCGATCCATGCCCAGTCAACACCTACCAATCACCACTCAGTGCCATGGCTGTAGCGTATTACAAACTCTACCAAAGTAAACAAAGCCGCCAATTCTCACACAGCCGTTTTTTTAACGATTGCAATGTTCTGAAACAATGCGAGCCTCAAAACACGTCCGGCCTTTTGCCCCGCAGATTACCATAGGCATAATGTTGGCGGCCAGAAATGATTGGGGCCGTCATTCCCCACTACATCTCTCACCTTCACCGCCCCACCTCAAAGCTTATGGAGGGAAATTTGGGGTATTTACGTGTTTTTCTGTGCATCCCCGTGTCATGCAAATTTGCATAAGTTCAGATTTGTATTAGCTGCGTTGGGTATGCCTTTTTGATTCGTCCCGTTTATGATTCTCATTCTACTCAGTCACAAGCTGTTTACCATTAAATTGGTTACTTTCAGCTTTGAAAAATTATAGAATGATTAAAACGAATATTTATGCTAGCCTGAAAGGTTTATTAAAAACGCCAACGAGCAGTGCTAAAAAAATTGGTCTAAGATGGCCTCCACCATAACTGATATTCATATGTGACGCACAAATCCCTACGTCGCGAGGAGCGGCACGCCGACGTGCGCCGTTTGAACTGGTTAAGGTATAACTTAGCGCAATCGGTACGTGTTTTTTGAGGAAGACAGCTGGTGAGTTAGCGTATTTTACTACTTTGTGATACGCGCAAAGAGCATGTCATAAATTGCCTTTGCTATGCCATGTCTTGTCTGGGCCATCTTCTCCGATCGCTTATGTGTAACCACACAGCAATGTGATGTTGCCATGTGCCAGGTTGTGTTCTGGGTAGGTCTGTCAGGTCAACAGGCTGCTTAAGTGCGTGTTATGCGGGCCATGTCTGGCAAAGGTTGGAGCAACAATTTCAGAGCATGCATGCTGTAAATGTTACCCTTTTAGGTTTGCACATGGTGCTTTAAGGAATCATGCAGTTGCCAAGGTAATTTCATGCATGCATACTCTGAAAAATTAAGCCCAAGGTAAAGTTGATCTGACCTGAGTTCGGTGCACATGGGCCTGCCATTCTATAAACTGATGCACCATGGGTATCTAGCTCAGTTATGATTGGATTTCAATCTAACTTTTATCATTATCATTGATTTTTGCAGACTGTGGTTGGGGTGTTAGACACTTAGGAAATCTTCCCATTTACCAGACCAATGTTGGCCTGTTTTCTTTATATGATGCAAATCACAAAATAATGACTGTTTCACTTCTGACACTGAATGCTTGTCTTGAGACAAAGGGGCCTAGGTACACACTGTTGGCATCCCACAGTGGTAAAAATGGAAGCTTTTTATTTCCCTTGCAAAAATATCATCAGCTTATACTGTAGGTTGTTATGGCAGGTTGATAAGATACAACCTGTTCAGGTTACAAGTGTGGGCCAAGCTATGTGCAGTGAGGGCTCTGTCGTGTTAGTGGAGCTGTTTGTGAACCTGCACAGTGTCTGTTAGATGAGTGCTTCAGTTTGTTTGAAGCCATCTACAGGAGCATGTAACAAAATATAGCTATGGTGGTGGCCTTTTGTGTGTGCTTTTTTATAAGTTGTATTACTCAACTTCATGGTTATTTATTCATAGACAACAATTGTTTAGCTGTATTGTCGGTCAGGCATAATATTATTATTGATGATCTATGCGATCATCGAATATGAATTAAGATGATATTGTATGTTAGAAGACCATATATGTGTTTCTCTCTTTCAGTTGGTAACCATGAAGGAATACCTGTTGACAGTGGCATCTGTGATTGGATCTTTGGCCGTGGTTCTTGCATTTGTTGCTCTTGGTAAGTATACCTATTTAAGATAAGGATGGTCATATCTTGTATTGTCATCCAGCATTTGGTATCCAGTGTAGCATGATTCTTTTTGTGTTGTCATCCAGTGTTTGGTATTTTAGATTTTCTCCTGTATATTTGTCTGTCATGTTAGTATTTTAACTATGTCATGAAGTTCCAAAGTCAGCAAGGTAAACTGAACGTCAGTTAGTTGCCCTTATTTGGTGTAGTTTGGCAGGTGCATTTATTTTGGGTTTTGTCATCACATGAGATCACCACCAGGCACTGGATTATAGTTAGCTTGGCTAATATGAACAAAATGTACCATTCTATTTAATTGTAAAACATGACCTAAGGATGCTTACCAGAAATATTCAGAAGCAGTACAAAAGTGAACTGGCAGCAGATCTCAAAACAAATCAGAAGGCCTTTGGTAGGTGTGCCAACTCAAGACCATGCACAATGTGCAGTTTAGAAGGCCTTCTTGATGATGTTTGAGCATTAACTAACAGAAATAAGGAAAACAGCAGTGTTCCCTAGAACTTCTTCACCAAGGTTCTCACAGACAGTTGGACTAGTGCTGTGCCTGTGATGCCTTGCAACCTCAGCCAATGGCCTCTGGAAGACATAGGATCTACTCAGGCAGTGGCAGGGACATTGCTCTGAAACCACCTAGCCCCCTTAGCCAGATGATGTACATCCCAGGATTTTTCGTGAGTCGGCAGATGTCCTGGCAGTACATCTTAGTCTGCTGTTCTGAAGCTCATTGGCATCTGGAAGGTTTCCATCAGATTGGAAGCTTGGTGAGGTAGTCCTGATCTTCAAGGAACTTAACATACATTCTTCAGCATTCTCCCAGTGAGCCTTACTGTTGTTCCTTCCACAGTGTTGGAGTTTTTGTCAGAGATAGTGTAATTGAACACTTCTTTGAAACCTGACTTCTTCATGTGGCTCAGTATGGGTTTATTGAAGCATTCCAGTAACACACAGCTATTAGAAGTGCTGGAGGATTGGAGTGCCGCGGTAGAGGACAGGGAGCCTGTGGGCATATTATACCTGGACTTCATCAAAGCTTTGGATTCTGTATCTCATAATGGATTGTTCTGCAAGCTCAATGTCTATGGTGTGAAAGGTAACCTGCTGCATTGGATCAGGGCCTTCCTCACCCACCAGATGCAGAGAGTGTGGGTCCAGGGCTTGAAGTAAGCACAAACTCGGCTGACTGCACCGACGTGACTAGCGGCATCCGTCAGTGGTTGGTGCTGGGACCAACGCTGTGCATAATCTTCGATAACGATTTACCAGACCAAGTGCAAAGCGCTGTCGGCAGCTGCTGCGGGTTCAAAGCCGAGCCCCGCGTCTTGTCCAAGAAACGGGGTACCGGTCATATGCCGAGAGGCCGTGACTTCTCCAGCCGCCCTCGCTGTACTACCGTCGTCGTAGTAGAGACGTGGTTGAGTTCCAGACAAGATGCACCTCGAAATAGACGAGAGAACACCAATCGAAGCTGAGAAAACCTCGACCTAGGACCTCTGTCTGTCGGAATTCGTTCAGCAACGGGGTCGTAAATGATCGGAGGTCTCCTCCACTTGCACTGGTATCACATCCTCGGTCGAGCAGTTTAAATCCAGGCTCGATCAACACTGGGCTGACTATGTATGACATACCACACCGATGGTATCCCTAAGATGAGAATATTCAGCTGCGTGAACGGCAGCTGGAAAAGGCCGAGATAGTAGCTCAAGTGGCCTTTTAAATTCCCGATGACGATAAGGAAGGGTAAGGTAAGTTGAGACTACTTGGTTTTGGCAATTTTGGTTATGTGGATTAGAGCTCTTTCGACTAATATTCATCATTTCCGGGCCTTTGGACGAAGGAGATTAGATAGCGGCCAGGCAGGACCACATGCGACTGGGGGGGGAGGGGGGGGGGGGCAACCACCCAGCTTAGCCCGCGCAGGGACCCTCCTTGGGGTATGCGCTAGGCGCCCGGTCGGGGCCCCCTCCAGGGGCCTGTCCTCCCATTCGTAACTGGCGCATGCAGCCTGCTTGGACAAGCGGCGTGTCGCGAGGATAAAAATTGAAGCAAGATAGGGTATAAGAGGGTCGGATGAAGAAAGTGTCTCAGAGTGAAGGTTGTATTAATTAACAGATGCTACCTTATTAGTCTTTACGTAGTTTCACAGCATATATTTCAATGAGTAGCAAAGGGGATCAAGTCCCCGGGGACCAGGGCAGTCGATGTGGTCGTCTAATGGAATAACTAATTGGCGCAATGCATGTATAATTTTATTGTGCCATATCTGCTCAGAAATAAAGTGTGAAATTGCCTTTCCTTTTGATTAGGGGCATCATCAAATTGCCTAGGTATGGAGCTCATCTGCTTTCAAATGCTGTGTACACTCAACTTAAATGATGAGCTGAGCAGCAGGACGCTGGATTGGTGCCATCTCATATGAACGGAATCACGTCTGCACCTGTCTGCCCTTGTGTCTTCACTCAGATGAAAAGCACTGGACAGTTATCAGTCTCTAGCAGATTAGTTTAACCGTCACCGTTTGGTTGCGGCATGGAATGTTTTGTGTGGCGTTAGTGTTGTCGCCGGACTGACCATGTCAGAGCTACCACTGGAGCGGACGGACGAGCTGACTCGCCTGCAATACCTCAACTCGCCTGCAGGTGGCTTGTTCACTGACGCGTGTTTGCGGAATCCTAATATCGCCATGTGCACGTGTTTTGGCCGTTTCTCGTGATGTTATTGTGAAGTTGTCGGTGACTATATTTTTGTACTTGCATTTGCATACTTGGTTAAAAACGTTTCCGAAGGCGTCCAATTCGCTGTATTACGCAGCGCCGAAGGAGGTACGGGTTAGAAATTCGCACTCAGCACCTTCATTTGGTTGAAGTCCAACTACTACACGTTCATGACACGAATCGGGCTGACATACGCCAGTTACGAACACTTAGGTGATAGTATTACATGACCTTGAGCACCACATGACCATTGGAGGTATTCGTGTGACGTTTCTATGTGTCGTGCATCTCTGGGTGACATTCAAACATGCTACGCTGCACAAGTTTTGAGTGCGGCAGGCCAAAAAACTAAAGAGCTTAAAGTCTTAAAAAGAGAATGGCTTTGGATTCCATTGAACGGCTCTCAAAGTGATTATCTCATTTCTAAACAGCCTACAAATGTGGAACGTTCTCTTTAAGACTGTTTTTGTCCCGGCAGGCTGGTACATCGTCTGGAAGTGTTTCCTGTCGCGCTTCAAGTTCGTTCGCGAGATGCTGGACGCCGGCCGAGAGCCCTCACCGGAGGCGGCCGAGCTGCGCCGGGTTCGGCAACGGACCAGCCGGCGACTGCGCCGCGAGTGACGCCGACCATGCTGCCATCTGGCCGCCGAGCCGTCAACCTAGGATGACATTGGCGGCCGCCGAAAGCCCGGCGGTCGCCGCGCCCACGACTTGTGGACCTGCGCGGACTGCTGGAAAGGGGGTCGTGCTACG